TTGGTCTTCTGATGGCACAAATCCTGAATCTGCTTTTTAAATATGGAAGCAGATGGAGACAACTAAGGGAATACCCCAAACTTCCCCCATGGCAAAGATATCACAATAGGGTGACATGTAGAGATGAACACGTGAGGAGAGTTACCTGGGAAATTCCGGGCTGCTATTGGTTTGTTGATTTACTGTATCAGAGGTCCCTTCCACTATCTCTCTCCATCCTGTTTGTTTTCTCTCTGATGGCAGCGTTCTAGAATCAGGCTAGAAACACCGGAAATTCTTGACTGTTCTGTATTCCTTTCAATACGGTGACCAAATATAGGATCATAGTAGGTTAGGAAGAGATTGTATCTCTGGTTTATGTATATATTGTGCAGATGTTATAAAATGTATATGTATACACATATGTTTTGTTCAGTCATTTTACAGCTGTGTCAAACTCTTCATGACCTCATTTGGGGTTTTCTTGGCAAATTGGAGTGGTTTGCCATTTACTTCTCCAGCTCATTTTGCAGATGAGGAACTGAGACAAACAAGGTTAAGTGACTTGCCCAAGGTCATGCAGTTCATGTCTGAGGCCAGATTTGGACTCAGGAAGATGAGTGTTTCTGACTTCAGGCCCAACCCTATTCACCGCATCACCTAGCTCTATCTCTTTATCTCTATTTCTATATGTGTAAGTATGTGTGTGTATGTATGTATATGTATATATACACAAACATATATCACACACACATATATATGTACAGATCTCTCTCTCTCTCTCTCTCTCTCTCTCTCTCTCTCTCTCTCTCTCTCTCTCTCTCTCCCTTTCTCTCCTCTAAGAGCCACTAACAGAAGTTATCAGATCCTCCCTCCCTGTCTTCCTTTCCCAGAGTATTGATGAAATAATTTGCATAATCCAGTCCAGTTATCCAAGAAAAAGAGGAGTGGTGGAATGACAAATTGGAAGAGAAAAGGAGTGCTTTCCCACATATCCAAATTACTCAAATGACTAGGAAGATGGGTGTCCCAGCCCCTGCCCCACCTCAGATTGTATTTGGAAGCCTCCTTGTCCCAAAACCTACTATCATGTGTTGAGGCAGTGGCTCCTGTTTCCTCTATTACCACTAAATACTACGAAAAAATGATGCCTCAGCCTTCTATATCTATTAAGCATAAGACACCAATCTGTTCACCACCAGGACTCTGTCTAGCACAGCCTCAGACACCACACCTAACCAGGAGCCAAGTGGAAAAGACAATCTTTCGGGGGTTATACATTTATGGATTACGTGTCACTCCTCTTCTGGGTATGTGTCATCCTTCTTCAGATTAAGGAAAGGAACTGGTATTGAATATGTTTATAAGGATTGTTTATAAATATGTTTATAAGGACCTGATTACCAGACACTTGACTCAGTCTCTGTTGTCTCCATCTAGAGCGTCCTAGGATTTGGTCAGTGAACAGGTTGATGCCACTGTCCCAGCGCAGAATAGCACTCCCTGGAGTGCCAGGGCCTTGGAGGATGAGGGCCTGGTCTACCCATACTTTCTTCATCAAATGGCTGGCAAACTCCTGTTCCTCTTCCCCTAAAGCTCAGGGATTTATAGTCACCATCTGCCAAGAGAAAAATCTCCTTCCCCTAGAACTCTTTTATCTTTATCTAGTTAAATTCTATCCCTCTCAATTCTTATCCTCCCCTACTGTTTTTTAAAAATAATTTTTGATATTTTTTGTTGCTGTTTCATATAAATTTCTTCCAATATCCTTCCCCTTTTCCTTTTTCCTTGCAGAGAGCCATCCTATATAACAAAGAATTTTTAAATAAAGAGGAAGAAGATGAAATAAAAATTAGCAAATTATCAATACATTGAAAAATCCCAAAAATATATGCAATGTTCCATATCCATGTATTTCCTACCTCTGCAAAGCAATAGGGAGAGATGTCTTCTTATATTTCTTCTTTGGGACCATGTTTATTCTTTAGAATTCTACAACATTACCTTTCAATTGTTTTGTCTGCCTTCCTTTCCTATTGGGCCTTCTGGGACCTCCTTTTTATTGATAAAAACATAACAAAACAAAACAAATACAAAACTGCTACCTCATCCTAAACCTTTTTTTTCCCTCATACTCTTTTCTTCTTGCAGTCACAAAAAAAATTTGGCCTCAACACCTGGACCTTTCAGTTAATCAGTCACTACATTTTAAATCTCAGTCACCCAGTTGGATATTTTAGATCTCACTAGCACTCAGAACTGTGCCATCTCTATGATATTGAATTCTGAAATTCTTCTCTTTGATCATAGCTTTTTTTCCTTTGATTTTTCAGTTGGCTTTCTTCCTTCTATTATTCATCCTAATCATGACCTTTAGTCCCTCCATGCCTATTTATTTTTCTTAATTTCTTACAACTACTCTGCCATCACTTTTCTTCTTTCACAGTCTTAACCCTACAGTTAATTAATTCAGATACTTAAGTCGTTGATCTTAAATGATCAACAACTCAATCAGTCACTTGGTATTTATTAAGTACTTACTATGTGCTACACACTAAGCTAGGTGCTGGGGATACAAAGACAAAAATGAGATGTTTTATGAATTGAAGAGATGTGTTTTCTAGCAGGGGAGACAATATGTATATAAATTTGATTTAATTATTTTTCAGTCAGGTGTTACTCTTCAGGAGCCTGTGGATCATACTGTCCATGGGGTTTTTTTGGCAAAGATACTGGATGATTTCCCATTTCCTTCTCCAGTGGATGAAGGCAAACAGAGATTAAATGACTTGTCCAGGGTCACACAGCTGGTAAGTGTCTGAGGCTGGATCTGAGCCCAAGTCTTCCTGACTTCAGGCCCAGTGCTCTATCCACTGAGCCACCTAGCTGCACACATATAGGTAGGTACAAAATGTACATACAATAAACACAAAATAATTTTGAGAGGAAGATATTAACAGTTAGCGAAATCAGGAAAGGTCTAATGTAGAAAGTGAGATTTGAACTGAACTTTGAAGGAAACAAGGACATCTAAAAGTTATAGGTAGGGGAGAGCCCATGAACAAACATATGTGAGCCATGGCTTAGTAAAGATTTCCATCCACAAACATGACTGGAGCCTGGGCTATCTAACTTTGAGGAACCTCTCATAAGCTAATAAAACTATTGTATTTTGAGACCCTGTAAGCCTGAGTGCTTGTAAGGGGAGCTGGAGGTTAGCATTGGGAGAGTAATAGATGATGACATCTCAGGTTCTACCAGAGTGGGCAAAACGAATCAGGTTACAGAGAGGTCTCCAAAGAATACTCTGGTCTCTCATGTTAGGAGGGAACTTCTGAGACAAGGTTTATGAAATGATTTGCAGCAGGAAGGGAGCTTAGAGATGATTTGATTCACTTTTCTCATTTTTACAGAGGAGAAGCCTGAGTCTGAGAAAGTTGAAGTTTCTTTCCGCAGGACAGTCAAATATTAAGTAACAGAATCAGAATTTAAAGCTAGGTTCTCTGGCTCCAAATTGAGGACTTCTTCTAGTCTGAGACTACAAGTGTACAGGTGCAAGTACAAGGCTTCTCTTCTTCTCCAGTACTGTCACAAGCTCACTACTGCTGATAGCAATTGTTCTTGGCAATTCTTAATCTAGATAAAGGAAACTCACTGGGCTCAAGCAGTTGTTTCTATAATGGCTACAGACCTAGGAGAGGAAGGAAAATGTGTTCCTTCATCCCTCTACCAGGTTCAGCTCCCCTTTCCTTGGCTCTAGGGGTGCATGAGATGAGATGCAATCATGACTAAATCAAGTACTCTTTTTTCTGTCCCCGTCTTGAGAAGAATCCCTCTCATTTCTTTCTCCACTGCCTGATAACAGAGCTAGAGGAAGCCACATATAGGTCTCTGCCATCTACTGGAACCATGGCAACTCTTCCCAGGTACTACACTTGACAGTGGAGCCAAGTGAGCAAATTCACGTTCTTTACTTCTACTCATCCCTTTGGCTTGGCCCTCATAGTTTTGCATCTTAATGTTTTAAAGGATATTCCCTGTTATGTGAACAAAAGGGTCCCCTAGAAGTTTTGCTCTGACAGAACTGAAGGATTATTCTCATTTAAACTTATTCAGATGAAGCTAGTTATCTGTAGTGAGCAAAGAGAGTTTGCAGTGGCCTCTTAAGAAGAATCTGTAGTGGCTTTTTAATTGTTCAATTCAATGCATTTAATTTTTTATTTTAATCATCTTAGGGAAAACTCTTGAAATATAATTCATTTCAAAATGTTGGTCAGTTCCTTCATTCTTTCCTAGCCCCTTCAATCAGTCAATCAATCAACAAGCATTATCTACTATGTGCTTTCTACTTGCAGGCCTGGTCTGAACCTGTGTCTTTTTCAATCAGACTTACAGGGATTCTTCCTTTGGATCAGCTGCCTATCAGGGCAGACCTAAAAGAGACAGAGGCTAATATTTGCAAGAGCTCTAGGGCAGAACATATACAACAGCCTTGTACTTCGAACTGTCATTATCATCACTGGAGCAAAATATCACCTGTTATCTTTTGTGGGCCAGACACTTAGTTACTCAAAGCCTAGGCGAGGGATCTGGGCTAGGCTCACGTTGTCAAGACTTTAGATGACCCAGAAGACACCTTCCAGATCCTGAGAATGGCCAGGTAAGGGTGGGGAGAGAAGAAGGGGGGTGTCAAAACTAGTTTACACACCCCATTAGAGTAGTTTGTCACAGGTGGGATTTTTAGTCTGGACTCTCTGCATGCTCTGATATTACTTGCGATGTTCCTACTTGGGAGAGGATGACTGTTTTCCCCTACAATCTTTCCTTGTTTCTGTTAGACTGTTTAATAAGACACACACACACACACACACACACACACACACACACACACACACACACACACACTTTGCATTACTCCCTCTATCTCCTCCCACCCAACTAGACCAGCATTTCTTGGCTATGAACTTTGCCCAGATATGCAAGACTGGATCTTATACGCAGTACTCTGGCTTGGCTAGGACCTTGCTGGTCCGTAGTCTGGAATTTAACCACACAATTGCTGGATTTCCTTCCCAAAGCAAGACCGTTACAGACCTGTAAGTACCTATTATCCTTTCCAGTCATCCACTCTGGCCTTCTTGCCATCTGCCATGCTACTGAGCACTTCCATTTCTTATATCCTCACCCTCACCTGGAACAGTACCTCTGGACTAGACTACCAGTCTATCTCAGCACTGACACCTACTTTGACTAGTAAGTGAATTAGTGTAGACTCAATCAACCATTACATGTGGCTGTCCCTACAGAAGACAATGCTTCACATCCCAATTAGTCATCCACCATGAATAGTTTACTAATTGCTTGGCAAGTGGGTGTCTCCCTTCTTCCCACCCCCCCTTCTTTCTACCTCTTGCTCTGTGATCAGTTATCAAAAATACTACCATATTATCCATAGTGCTGAAAAGGGCCTATAAATTGCTTGCCCTATGGATGATCACTATGACTTCTGGGATGCTCTCTTACATGGTCATCATAGCCATGGTTTTCTTGTATTAGAATATGAGCTTGAGGGAAGATACTCTCTTATTTTTGTATTTCTCTGGCAGGGTTTAGCCCATAGTAGTTTAGCTCTTAACAAATGCTTTCACATCCATCCCTCTATTCATTCACTGTAGAAGATAGCCCTCCATATGTTTAAAGTTTTGAAGAGAGATGGTAGTGTTTTGTGTGTGTGTGTGTGTGTGTGTGTGTGTGTGTGTGTGTGTGTGTGTGTTTAAACAGAGGACTGTCCCAGTCTCCCCAAGTGCTAATTCTTTTTCCTCTAAGACTACTTCCCAGCTAATCTATATAGATCTTACCAATGCCTAGTTTTTTTACATGATGTAACCCCCTTTAGAATGGAAGCTCCTGAAGGGCAGGGGTTGTTTTTGCTGTTCTTTATATCCCAGCAAGTAGCAAGGTGCTTGGCACATAGGAACATGTAAATGCTTTTTGACTGACTGACTGACTGAATGACTTACTGAAAGACTGTGTATATTATTAAATAGGGAACAGAATCAGAATTTCAGAGTTGGAAACAACCTCAGGGGTCATTTAGTCCAATCTGTGCCTGAATAGGAATGTCCTCTATAATAACATCCTAAAAAATTGTCACCCAGACTCCAGTTGAAGACCTCCAGTGAGAGGGAATCCATTAGTGCCAGAGGCAGTCCATTCCATTATGAAATAGCTCTAAGTGTTTGGAAATTTTTTCTTATATCAAGTCTAAATCTGTCTCTTTGCCACATTCCACCCTTGCTCACAGTCTTGCCCTCTGTGGTCAGGTAGAACAAATCTAATCCCTCTTCCACATGACATCTTCAAATATTTGAAGATTCCTATCATGTCCTTTCTAAGTCTCTTCTCCAGGCTTAATATCCCCAGTTCCTCCAGTGGAGGAACTTCCTATGGCATATGAGTTCCTTGGCAGTGGGCACTAGTTTGTTTTTTTCCCCTTTGTATTCCCCAGTGCCTAGCACAGTGCCAACCATAGAGTAGGTGCTTAGAAAATGTTTGTTAAGTTAAATTAAATTGAATGTTCTCTAGTTCTCTTATCATCCTGCCTCCTTTCCTCTTGACCATTTTTAATATGTCAATGTCCTTACCTTCTAGATATTACTGAAGTATGTAGGGAAGGAGACAAAAGATCCAAATCTCACTGAATGTATGCATGTGGATAGACCCAAGCCACATTTCCCCTTGAATTGCTACTCTGAAGATGCGAACTTGAATAAGGAAATTGATTATGGTTTTGAACTTCCCTTTCAGTTTAAAATCAGTTAAGCAGTTGTGTTGTCCGACTTTATTCTGATGAGACCTAGCTCTATTATGTTTGCTCCAGACACTTATAGTAAGTAATTCATCACTGCCATCAGCATCCCACAGAAAATAAATGCCACATAGTTCTATATTGACTCTAGCATCATCACTCACTAGGACGGAAGTGGTGAATGGGGGGAGGGGCAGCAACCTCAGCAGCCCAGAGTTCTAGAGAAGTACAGTGAATGCAAGAACATTGATTTTGGAGGCAGATGGCCAAGGTTTAAGTTTCAGCTCCATCACTTAAAAGCCAAATGACCTTAGGCAAGTTGACTAAGCTCTCTGATCCTGTTTTTTCACTTATAAAATGCAAATAATGTCTACCTTATAAGGTTGTTAAGAAGGCCATGCCTTGTGAAACTAAAGTGCTATATACATGTACTTCAAATACTTAAGGAATCTGTGATTGCCTCACTAGATTTTTTCCCTCCACTGAAGCAGATTTTAGTCTTTCCTTGACTTAGCAATCAGTCAAACTGAGACCTATTAAAGGCCTTTGCTTAAAAAAGCCAAGGTCTCCCACCGAATCCAGGGCCATCTCCAGTCATCCTGATCTGTATCTGGCTACTGGACTCAGATGGCTCCAAAAGAGTAAGTAAGGCTGGTGACTTCGCACAGTGCTCCCTCACTTAAATCTAATTCACTTGCATATCATGGCATCACTTCCCTGATGTCATGTTCCTCTTCCAGAATGAAGGAGAAGCAACAACAACAATAACCAATCAATCAATTGAGAAGCATTTATTATTTATTACATTCTAGATGCTGTGCTGAGAACTGAGGATACAATAAAGGGCAAAAACAGTCCCTGCCCTTAAGGAACTCTCATTTTAATAAGAGAGACAATATTTAAATAATTAGGTACATATAAGATACATACAGAATAGATGGAAGGTTAACTTTCTGTCTACTGAGAGGATCTAGTATCTGGGGGGATAGGGAAAGGCCTCCTGCAGAAGAGAGTATTTGAGGAAACCAGGGATCCAAAGAAACAGACAGCATTTCAGGCAGTGGTAGATGCACAGTAGAAGAGACACGGAGACGGTAGAGAATGTGGAGGGTAATAAAGTTTAAGAAGATTGGGAAGTTCAGAAGGATTATGATTTAAATGCCAAGCAAAAGTATTTATATTTGTTCATAGAGGTGATGGGGAGTCACTGGAGTTTTCTGAGGTGTCTGTGTGTGTGACATGGTTAGATCTGGACTTTAGAATAACACTTTGGTAGCTGTGTGGAGGATGGATTTGAGTGGGGAGAGACTTGAGGCAAGTTATGGGGAGGTGATTGCCATAGTCTACCTGAGAGGTGATGAAGGACCTTTGCCAAGGTGGCCACTGTGGAAACGGCAAAAAGAGTACAGATATGAGAGTTGCTATGAAAATAAAAATGACACAATTGGTGACTCATTGGATATGAGAAGATGATGCTGAGATTGTGAACCTGGGTGCCTAGGAAGATATTCTTCAAGAATTGCTTAGAACAGAAAAAAGATCATCACATTGTAGCTGATGTAGTGATGAGCATCCCTGCACTTAGGCTGCACCTTAGACAATATACACCCAGTTCACGACCAAGCCTAGATTCAAAGCCTTCCCAGTGGGCTGGGACCTGCCAAAGCTTGTACCCCACTGGGATAGCCTTTGAGGAAATGAAGGAAGTAAGCAGCATTTATTCAACCACCATGCTAAGTACTTTACAAATATCATCTCATTTGATCCTCATGAGGACCCTGGGAAGTAGGTGCTATTATTCTCCTTATTTTACAGATGAAGAAACTGGGATTTTGTGAGATTGTGACTTTCCCAGGGACACAAAACTGGTAAATATCTGAGGTTGGATTTGAACTCAGGTGTTAATGACTCTGGGTCCACAGCTTTATCTATTGGGCAACCCAGATGTCTTTAAGAACCCAGGAGTTGTCTCTCTGCAATAATGAGGCATTGAAAGAAGCCTTTGCATTGTTGTTGTTTAATCATTAGTTATGTCTCACTCTTTGTGACCCCATGGGCCATACCATTCATGGGATTTTCTCAGCAAAGATACTGGAGTGGTTTGCCATTTCCTTCTCCAACAGAGGTTAAGTGATTTGTGCACAGTCACATAGCTAGTAAGTATCTGAAGCTGGATTTGAACTCAGATCTTTACAGAGAAATATGTTATTATTACTTATGTTGGAAGGCCTTTATAGATGATCTATTCTACTTAAATATGTATTTTTTTTTTGTGACATGGACCCCTTTGGTAGTCTGGCAAAGCTTTTGAATTTTTTTTTCTCAGACTGTTTCTAAATGCATAAAATATAATACAAAACAAGTCAATTTTAATGAAATAAAGTTATCAACATATTGACAAACCCCATGTTAAGAGCCCTTAGTCCAACCCTATTCATTTTACAGATGAAGAAACTGAGACAGGAAGGGGAAGTACCTTGTTCCAGCTATTTCCTTTTTAGAATCAGGAATGGCTGGACCAGAAATGAATGTGCTACAAAAGGTTCGACCCTCTGGTCTTTCACTTTCCTTATTGACTTTGAGGGAGAAGAGGGGATAGGAAGCAAATAAGCATTTATATGGTACTTCCTATGTGCCAGGCACTGTACTAAGTGGTTTTTATAAATATAATCTCATTTATTCTTTTTACAACCCGTGAAGGTAGGTGCTATTATCATCCTGATTTTATAGTAGTTACATAGTTATAACCTGAGGCAAACAGAGGTTGAATCATTTGCCCAGGATCATAGAGGTGGCAAATGTCTGAGATCACGCCTGAACTCAGGTCTTCCCGAGTCCAGACCCAGCACTCTAGGCACTGTGGCACCGCCAGCTGCCATGTTAGGGAAGGCTTTGGAGTGAGGAAAGAGCACTTGGCTAAATCTCCCACCTGTCTGCCAGGTGTCAGTGAATAAATGCACAGCACCTCTGCTTCCCTTGTGTTTATTCTTTCCTGATATTTAGGGAGCAAATCCCTTGAGGTGGATGCATCTAAGCATAACTTTGTGAGTTTGGGAGATCCTGAGATCCCATCAGAGGGCTGAAGTTGGTAGCAGCGTCCCCCAGAGCTTGTAGCAGTACCATTGGAGACACAGTGGCCAGGGACTTAGAGATGGGTATAGAAACGATGGTGAAATCTTCAGGGAGTGAAATACCTTTGCTCAGAGAAAAGGGCTAGCATCATACCAACATGGTACTGATTCCTGGGGGGCAGCAGATTCTTGGGATGCAGCAAAGAGTTATACCTCA